TGTGCTCTCCGTTTGTCGGTAAATATCATTGTTACGGACTTTTATCTTGACTAACGCACTAACAAAGAGATAGAAACGTTTCCTTTGGCCATCACGTGTCGAGAAGGTAAACGATAATTGAAATTTCGGCAACTGTAGTTTAAGTAGCGCTCCTCATATACCCCTAGTCCTAACATTTTCTCCTACGGAAAGGGTGGATATAGGGGTGGAACATTAGGATAGGCAATGGAATATGCTTTAATAACTGCTATATGCATTTTATATTATTGTATTTATGAATGCTGTTGATTTATATCTGTAGATTTTCCTATTCTGTATTCTCTTTTAACGTATTGCGGAAAGACTGCATTACCAAAATGCAGGTTTCTTGAAATTCCTGAAAAAAGGAAATTGTGGTTAGGAGGTCGTCTACTTTAACTTGCCAGAGATCAAACTTCCGATTCTGGAGTTAGATAAGTTTAGTCGGCGGCACGAATCGCCACGCGCACCTTCAATTTTCATGTGGAACAACTTACTTCCAGCGACCACCCGGAACAATTTCGACTACATTTGTTCACTCTACACTTAATTCTAGAAACTTCCTTCACTACCTTTCCCGTTTCCCCACTCAACCTCCCCATAACCACTGTTTCCGTAGGACAAATTGCTGAAACTAGGGGTATATGAGCTACACTATTTAAGCTACCTTTGCCGAACTTTCTATGAAATGTTAACCAGTACCACAAACGGAATCCAATTATCAGGCATCTTTCGATTCAGAGTTCCTGACTCAGGTAACCTCACTTTAGTTTTAGCTCCAGAAATTAATTAACTCGCTGCGCAACTGGCTGAAACGTACGGGCCCACTCTAAGCAAAACATTAGGTGAAGACAAAGCGCCCAGGCTTCTGATTCCATTCACTAATTTAGAACGTCGGATAAGTGTACTTAAAGTAAAAAAATACTAAGCAGACCTAATGACCTGACATAGCCCACGATTACTTGACTTTGTTTCACTCCGGTCGTCAATTCACAGGCAGCTGCTTATTACCGAAACTCACATCATCGTTGTGCGTAATATCACTAGTGATTTGTTAAATGTTCGCGCGTGCGTGGGCGGATGTCTAGTTTTGTGCCCCGAAAGTACGGAGGGGTAAGGAAGGAACGAGAACAAAGACACTCATCGGTGTAAAGTGCTAAGTGAATTGTCCTAGGGACAGCCTCTTGTCACTGGTACTTAGGAAACAGGCGCTGCGTTCAAACTAGAGATATTTTCAGACTGGAAAGGCGCGTGCTAATCTCCCTCAAGTCACTTCAAAGGACAGAAGAACCGGGAATTTGCGAATTATGTTACTGTGAACCGCTAATGCATAGACAAAATGCTGTCCCATAATTGAATTGAAAGCATTCAGACGTGTGCCGTTAAACAAAATAAGGTTTCCATTCTGCCCTCCGCATCAACTGAATGCAAGGCGCCATTTTGCTCTCATCCAGCTAAAATATTTTCGGGTTAAGCAGGATATGTCAATAGAAGTGAATATGCGAGTTCCAGTAAGCAGGTCAGAAGAAGAACATGTCTGAGACCCCTATTTGCGCATATCTCAGACTATCCTACGATTACCTATGATTAAGGATTCTCAACAGAATCTGAAACGTCAGGAAAATAAAACTCTTAATCCAGTGTTCACATCTTCTTCTTCTTCTTCTTCTTCTTCTTCTTCTTCTTCCTCCAAAGCAGGATATGTTGGTAAAACATTGGATATGCTGAAATTTTAAATGTGACCTAGTTGGGTGGAAAGACCATAGAGGTACCGGGGTCTTGATTCAGACGACAACTAAATCAAGGGCAAAGAATTCCTCATTAAGAATCTGACACATTTGGTCACTTGACCAAACATCTTTAGTAGATTTACTTTATTGGAGATTTTTTCAAGGACCTAACTGTCATGCGACCTTGCTAATTTGCTATGCGCGAATGCACTACAAGTTTGTAAATATAAGGCAGATTTCCGAAGCGAAAACAACTGATTCGATATTGATAGCGCCCCCTATCTACCTAGTTTAAAATTAATTAGATCTGCCAATAACTGAACACTCTTTATGCGTCTGGTCTCGGTTGGTCTTCCTGACCCCGGAAAGGGAAAAAAGCAGCTGGCTTCAACTAAGTCTGCTATCAGTCTAAGCTACCCCAGAGACCCCTCAGTTTCTGCACCAACCTGATGGACTTAATCGAACACACACAACTTTTATGCAGAAGAGCAGTCTTCAAAAATATTTTTCGATGTTTAATATTGAAAAGGCGATTCCCTGATAAAACCTATCGAAAATGTAAATCACAGGCCGTATGCTGGAAATTAGTGCATGGTGTGTCCGGCCTCTGGTAGCTAACATTGCTTTTCGAAACGTCGGAATATAAATGTTCCCCGGCCAAATGCCTCTTCTTCCAATGAAATGCCCAACTTGCGTTTGTTTTAACCTAGTGAGCCACCCGCCCTGTGTTTCGGTTTTCCAAGTTACTAAACCAAAAAATCTATGTTTTTTCAGGGCGCCCAAAGCAACTCCAAAATGGAATCCGTTCACACGACTCATCGTTTTTCTTATTTGCATATTTGGCTGAGGTTCTGATTTTCAAGTATGGTATCTTCTTTTCTTCGTTTGGTTACACATAGTCACTTCTTACTTCTTAAGCAAAGGGAGCATTCCGAACTACAGAATACATTCTGATCTGAAGAAATCAAGAAGATGCGAACACTGGAACAAGAATTATATCTGCCTGACGTTTCGGTTTCTGTCGAGAATTCTTAATCATAGATATCCGTGAGACATGCGCAGATTGGGGTGACAAAGGCACAGATTGCACGCTATTTATAGTTTGTAGCGGCCATCCGAATGCGTACTATAATAATCAGCTCCTGTAACCACCGCTTGGGGTCGTAATTGGTGCGGTGATGGCTTGGCAGTTTGCTTTCTATTCATTAATCATCAGAGCTGATAATTACAGAACGTATGCGGATGATCGCTATGAACTATAAATACCGCGCAATTTGTGCACGTATCACCCCAATCTGCGCATGTTTCACAATACTCTACGGCTGCCTATGATTAAGGATTCTCAACAGAATTCGAAACGACAGGAAAATAAAATTCTTGTCCCAGTACTCGCATCTTCTTCTTCTGAACTGCTTCCTGGAACTCGCATATTTGCTTCTGTCGACATTCTGGTCTTTCAGTGAGCTTAATTAAAGGAAGAAGAGGAAGCGGTACAATTACCCTATTTGTGTAGTCGTCTATTCCGCCTAAGTGAACCAAGTAAATATGAAACAGGAATCTTCAATTCTAACACACTATACGTCTTTAACTTTACCAACGTTGAAAGCCGTAAAAGAAACAGAAAAAAGAAGGCTTACTGCTACATGCAGCCTTATCTAATACAGCCACCTTTGTATTTATGCTATTATTTCGCATAAATGGTCTCTAACCAGCACCTCACATGCGAAACATAAACCGAAATACTCACAACTTCAGCGTGGCAGATCATGGCGTATGGCTGTGAACATCGGGCTGTAAATGATTGATCCAACTTAGGTAAAGTCTCAGGAAGCGCAGATTTCACGTCCTCGTCAATTTCTGTTGGTTCGATTCCTTGTCTCTGGACGTCTTCATCATCATCCGAGAACTCGGTTGCAAAGCATATTTTGAAGTAATTTGCATCACCCTATGTGCCCAAAAGCGATAACATAAGCAGGTAAAAGTACAAAGAAATAAAATCTGGGCGATACATGGGAATTTATAGAAGGGCGTCAAAATAGAATTTAAGTAAAATCGTCTACGCCCGGTATTATATCCCAGAATACAATGAATTAAACCGAATACTCGTTCAATTGCAAATATTGTGCGCAAACGTTTTTCCCAGGCGAACTGAAGAACACATTTCAAATTTTTTAATATTACAAGACCTTTTGCTATTTACACGAGTAGTCTAAATACCATTCGTTTTTTTAGTTTTTCTATGACAACAACCTGCCAGAGTGGACATAGAACTATTTGATTTTACTATGGAATTCTCTCGTTCAACTTAGTATTCTGCAGCCCCAGAGAAAACTATGACAGAACCATTAAACAGAATTTGTGCCTGGTTCTAAATATTGTTGAAAAGGGTAGCTAAACCTTTAATCGGTAATAGAAAATGGCTTAAGTCTCAGTAATCTCGTTTTAAAACACAATGCTACTAAAGGGCTTTAGCATTTACAAAATAGAAATAAAAACTTTTTTAAAGCATCAATCGACGCATACTTTGTCCGCTATATTTTCAAAAGTCAATGTCATGGAACTTTTTGCAATCATGCTAGCGTAGATCATTTTTGAACAAATGACCATTTTTTACAACTGTATTAGTTTTTATGCCAATGTGTGTGAGACCAGAACTTTAGGTGTACTTTTTCACTTTTAAAATCCAAAACCAAACAAACGCCGTTAAGCTTTACTAAAACATATAAATATTAATATTTTGAAGTGTCGGGTCGCACTTTGTCAGAGTTCGTTGGGGATGAAGCCTTGGAAAGCTGTTTTGTGTAATCGACAGAGAGGCGAAGTGAGCTCCGATCACCCCAGTCCACTTCTCGCTTCTGTGAGGGCTTCGGCTGTGAAAGAAAACAATTGCGAAAGTACGTAAAACCTTCCAAGTCCAGAAGGCTTTGTCATAAAAATATTCCTCAGGCCTATTGAAGTATTCGTTTATGCAAGGCGGTAAGCTATGTATAGGCATAAATTAATTAGATGGCCAAAATCTCAAAATTCAGTCGAACAAATGATTCTAAATACAACACACAAACGTTGTAATGTAATTCTCCTCACTGACCAATATGCTCATTTTTTTACCACAGACGCGTCGTGCAAGTTACCTTGAGAAAGTATCTGTTCGATCGAAATATTATACAATACATTCATGTATTCGTAAAAAAATGGGGAAAGTGATAATAACAGACTTAGGTACTAGCTAAAAGCTGTGCCAAGCAGCGGTAGAAAACTGGTACAACACGTGTCTGGGTCTTTTAGCTAGTATCTGGGCTGTAAGTATGGTAAATTCCAACATCAATATATACTACTACTGTCTGTCCGTTGGTAGCAGGTGTATATTCAGCAGTGGTTGACGGTTTTCAGCACAAATATACACTTACAATTTCGGTCTATGCCTATAGACCTTTTATAAACTAATTTACACCGCGAACAAAAAGCTACAGTTAACAGTTATGTTCTCCCACACACAGAAGAAGCAGACCGCCACATGGGTGCCAGACAGGCCTTGTGAATGATTGATGAGGTCTCCTCCAGCTATCCAAAATCACTTTCACAGAGTCTGTTGGCTACGGCAGAAGCGGTGACAGTCATGTGACGTAAATCGGGCCTATGCGCGCAAAATTACCCCGAAGTTGCCACGGCCAAAGCCACCCACCTGGCAATCTAGATATAATTAGCTGCCCCGATGATCACCATCCACCCTGACGCTGATCATAAAAAACTAAGCAAACTTTTCTTCATCTCACTTCCTCCCCTCTACTCCCATTGTAACAACAGCATGCCTTTTAGTAATTGCCTGCATATTTTACTAATTAACATAGCAATATAAATTTACCAACCTGAAGAGAATTTATTGGAAGCAGAAGTATGCCCGCCAAATTGTCCTTTGCAAATTTGAATAACTCCTCTGACCTAACCAGAACTTGATGCAAATGTGATTAGCCTCATGGCTCCCGGTTGGGCCTTGGTAGCGCAGTTAGTCAGGGTGTTCGCTGTACCGAATCTATGCATTTGCTGCGGCCGGCTGGGCTGTTACTGAGACGGCCAAAATTTTCACGAATTATTTGGAAGAGTTATACAAAGCGGCCAAAAAGCAGAATTGAATAAAGCTGCTAGCTGTTACTACCCGATAGCCCCATGTCGATTCTAAACACTTCTGATGAAGTGGGAACCAACAGCATGGGAACGCACACACAAATTAGATATTTTCTTGAGCGAAAGTAAGCATGCTACTTCAAAACAGTATTTTAGATATTGTAAACGAATTTTTTAAAGACGTTGGTGACAGTTACGTTTAGGGCCCACTAAAGTTTCCTTTTCGCAAAACTATCTACTTGCTTCGTAGCAGTAGGCATGCTTAGGCTGTATCCCAAGTCTGACGCAGTCCTTCCACGTATGACGTAGTCCATCCACATATAGAAATGACCCCCCCCCCACGAAATCTTTGTAAGTCGTGCCGATTTATGACCTTAATTTAAATTAAGCCTTTTGTTTTCTTAAGTTTTTCGTTTAAGTTAACTTCACATAGTCTGGTTGTAGTGCTTTTTTGTTTCCCCTTTTTGGCGACATGCGGTTGCTTTTTGCCCAAGAAGCTGTTGTAAGTGCCCTACTGAGCCTTCTTGTTTCCTGTTGTTGTATTTCTCACTTAAATTATCGCGCGCAAATAATTGGTCATTTGACTAATTATTCCTATCATTTTCTACTTTAACACGCTCTACGTTTTTAGTTATT